GGCGTCGGGCAGCGGCGTGTTCCGGGCCTCCAGGCACTGCAGGCAGCTCGCCTGAGGGAAAACGGGAATGGGAACAACGGGAAAAACTGGGAACAACGGGGAAAACGCACCCACCGGCACCGATCGGGGCCCGGGGAGCCGGCGGGACGGGGCTGGGGAATGGGGGGATGGGGTTTGAGCCCTCGGGGTGGGCTTGGATGCATTGGGATGGGATTGGATCCCTCAGGAGGGGCTTGGATCCACCCCCTAGGATCCATTGGGATGGGCCTGGATCCCTCAGGAGGGGCTTGGATCCCTCGGGATGGGCTTGGATCCATTGGGATGGGATTGGATCCCTCAGGAGGGGCTTGAATCCCTCAGGAGGGGCTTGGATCCCTCAGGATGGGCTTGGATCCATTGAGATGGGACTGGATCCCTCAGGAGCAGCTTGGATCCCTCAGGATGGGCTTGGATCCACCCTCTAGGATCCATTGGGATGGGCCTGGATCCCTCGGGATGGGCTTGGATGCCTCAGGATGGGCTTGGATCCATTGGGATGGGATTGGATCTGTCAGGATGGGCTTGGATCCACCCTCTAGGATCCATTGGGATGGGCCTGGATCCCTCAGGATGGGCTTGGATCCCTCGGGATGGGCCTGGATCCGCCCCCTGGGATCCATTGGGATGGGATTGGATCCCTCAGGATGGGCTTGGAACCCTCAGGATGGGCCTGGATCCCTTGGGATGGGCCTGGATCCCTCGGGATGGGCCTGGATCCCTCGGGATGGGCCTGGATCCCTCGGGATGGGCCTGGATCCCTCGGGATGGGCTTGGACCCCTCAGGATGGGCTTGGACCCCTCAGGATGGGCCTGGATCCCTCGGGATGGGCCTGGATCCCTCGGGATGGGCCTGGATCCGGGCTCTGGGAATGCCCCACATCCACACCTGGCGTTGGCTGAACCCCGAGATCCCTCCCTCGACCTTTCCCTCCGCCTCATTCCCTGTTTTCCGTGCTCCAGACACTCCCAAAACCCCAAAACTCCCAATTCCAGCTCCTTCCCGGCCGGATTTATCCCAATCCCAGCTCAGTCCCACCCTTGGCTTCTCCCTGGAACGGGAACTCCCCTGGGATGAGCAGGAGCAGCAGGAGCGGGGCCGGGACCTTAATTGGGGCTCCTGGGGCGTTCCCGGAGTGGGGCTAATTAACCCCGTTGGGCTAATTAACTCCCCATCCGGCCCGAAAGGTTAATTAGCCCCTCGGGCCCGACGCTAATGACACACTAACGAGCGCCCGGCCGGCCCCTTTCCTGCCACGCGCACGGAGCGCCGGGACACGTGGCAAGGGGCTGGATTTTCCTGCCTCTGGAGAGGCTCAGCCGGCTCCCGGGGGGTTCCAGAGGGAACTGGGAACACTGGGAGCACTGGGAGCACCGGGAAGGGGTCACAGACCTTCTGGGAGCTCATGGGAGGTGGGAAGGGGGTGGTTTTCCTTTGGGAGCCGGGTGGGTTTCCAGAGGGAAGAGCCTAAAAACAACCAGATGGTGTTGGGAGGCACCTCTGGAGAGGCTCATCCGGCTCCCAGGGGGTTCCAGAGGGAACTGGGAACACTGGGAGCACTGGGAGCACTGGGAAGGGGTCACAGACCTTCTGGGAGCTCATGGAGATGCTGTTTTGTGCGAGATTTTGTGAGATTTTCCTTTGGGAGCCGGGTGGGTTTCCGGAGGGCCGAGCCCAACCCCAGTGCCTTGGGAGAGGCTCATCCAGCTCCCGGGGATTCCAGAGGGAACTGGGAACACTGGGAACACTGGGAAGGGGTCACAAACCTTCTGGGAGCTCATGGAGATGTTGGGGGAGGTGGGAAGGGGATGGTTTTCCTTTGGGGAGCCGGGTGGGTCTCCGGAAGGACGAGCCCAACCCCAGCACCTTTGGAGAGGCTCATCCGGCTCCCGGGGGGTTCCAGAGGGAACTGGGAACACTGGGAGCACTGGGAGCACTGGGAAGGGGTCACAGACCTTCTGGGAGCTCATGGGAGGTGGGAAGGGGGTGGTTTTCCTTTGGGAGCCGGGTGGGTTTCCGGAGGGCCGAGCCCAACCCCAGCACCTTTGGAGAGGCTCATCCGGCTCCCGGGGGGTTCCAGAGGGAACTGGGAACACTGGGAACACTGGGAAGGGGCCACAGACCTTCTGGGAGCTCATGGGAGGTGGGAAGGGGGTGGTTTTGTGAGAGATTTTGTGAGATTTTCCTTTGGGAGCCGGGTGGGTTTCCGGAGGGAAGAGCCCAACCCCAGCACCTTTGGAGAGGCTCATCCGGCTCCCGGGGTTTCCAGAGGGCACTGGGAACACTGGGAACACTGGGAACACCGGGAAGGGGTCACAAACCTTCTCATGGAAGCTCATGGGAGCTCACGGGAGGTGGGAAGGGGGTGGTTTTCCTTTGGGAGCCGGGTGGGTTTCCAGAGGGAAGAGCCCAACCCCAGCACCTTTGGAGAGGCTCATCCGGCTCCCGGGGGATTCCAGAGGGAACTGGGAACACTGGGAACACTGGGAAAAAACCTTCTGGGAACAAACCATCTGGGAAGGGGTCACCAACCTTCTGGGAGCTCATGGAGATGTTGTGGGAGGTGGGAAGGGGGTGGTTTTCCTTTGGGAGCCGGGTGGGTCTCCGGAGGGAAGAGCCCAACCCCAGCGCCTTTGGAGAGGCTCATCCGGCTCCCGGGGGGTTCCAGAGGGAACTGGGAACACTGGGAACACTGGGAAAAAACCTTCTGGGAACAAACCATCTGGGAAGGGGTCACCAACCTTCTGGGAGCTCATGGAGATGTTGGGGGAGGTGGGAAGGGGGTGGTTTTCCGGAGGGCCGAGCCCAACCCCAGCGCCTTGGGAGAGGCTCATCCGGCTCCCGGGGGGTTCCNGAGGGAAGAGCCCAACCCCAGCGCCTTGGGAGAGGCTCATCCGGCTCCCGGGGGGTTCCAGAGGGAACTGGGAACACTGGGAACACCGGGAACACCGGGAAGGGGGCCACCAACCTTCCTCATCATGTGAGCAGCCGCCTGCCAGCCGCGGGTGCCGATGTGCTTGTTGAGGGAGATGTTGAGGTGCGTGGCCGACTCGTAGTACTCGATCATGTCGAAGAGCGCCGACGCCCCCTGGGAAAACCGGGAAAACCGGGAATTCCTGAGGGCTGGGAACGCTCCCGGAACCCCGGAGGGATGGCAGGGGATGGGGGATCCAGGGGTTCGGCTGCAGGGGCTGCAGCTCCCGGGAAATCCAGGGGGGTTTCCTCCGGGGATTTGCGGCCCCCCGGGGATGTTCCGGAAGGAGAGAGGGGGGAAAAATGGGAAAAAATGGGAAAAAATGGGATATGGAAGGATTCCCGGTGTTGTGGGGAACGGGAACGGGATGGGATCAGCAGGAGGGGTCGCTGAGTCCCAGGAATCCAACAGGAGCGGGGGAAAAAGGTGGGAAAACGGGAATTGAGGCGGGGGAGGAAGAAGGGGAAGAGATCCCAAAAATCCAAAGAGAGGGGGAAAAAAAGTGGGAAAACGGGAATTGAGGTGGGGGAGGAAGAAGGGGAAGAGATCCCAAAGATCCAAAGAGAGGGGGAAAAAAAGTGGGAAAACGGGAATTGAGGCAGGGGAGGAAGAAGGGGAAGAGATCCCAATAATCCAACCAGAGTGGGGAAAAATGTGGGAAAAACAGGAGTTAAATATGGGGAAAAAAGGGGGGAAACCCAGGAACTGAGGCAGGGGAGGAAGCAGGGGAAGAGTTGGGAAATAATCCAATCAGAGCGGGAAAAAAAGTGGGAAAGAAAGGTGGGAAAACCAGGAATTGAGGCAGGGGAGGAAGCAGGGAAAGAGATCCCAATAATCCAAAGAAAGTGGGAAAAAGGGGGGAAAAACAATGGGAAAAACGGGAGTTCAGGGTGGGAGAAAAAGGCGGGAAAACCAGGAATTGAGGCCTGAAAATTCCCAATAATCCAACGAGATTGGGGAAAAAAGTGGGAAAAGCAGGAATTGAGGCCTCAAAATTCCCAATAATCCAACGAGATTGGGGGAAAAAGTGGGAAAAGCAGGAATTGAGGCAGGGGAGGCCCCAAAATTCCCAGTAATCCCAAAGGATTGGGAAAGAAGTGGGAAAAGCAGGTG